AAGTACTTGCATGCGGCTTGGTTGTTCCTCCTGTCACGCGTTGTGCACCGATCACTCTCGAGGCATGGTGCAGACGGGGATGACGAAGGCTGGTCCGCCCTTGGCATCGACATTTCGGTTGGTCTTCGTGCTATGTGTCGTCTCTGGTCGGCTGCTCAAGCACCTCCCGCAGGAACAATTTCCGCTCGTGCAACGGCAATGGGAGGCGGTCTCTCAGTTCCGTTCCCAAATCACGCACAAAGCCACTTTATCCCTGCGAGAGCCTAACCTTACCTCCTCTGTACGTGATACGAGGCCGTAGATTATTCGATACTCATTCGCAATACAGGAAGTGTGCGCCATATTGCTCGCTCTACATCTACTAGAATCCAGGCCGTTCGCAGAGACTCTGAACACTTTCTTGTCCCAACGAAGCAGATGTCTCACTAATACTTTGTCGCGACACAAAGACCGAATGCCAAATGGTAACGGCGGTATTCCTGAATTATCACTACCTCATATGGGAACAATGAAGGCTCGCATCCCTGGGGCAGAATTGCGCGACGTACGGCAGAGGTTGAAAGCGGTGCTTGAAGTTATTTCCAGAACTCTGGGATCCTCCCGGATCATTTTCCTGGGCGAGGCCAACGAGCCACCACTCATGCGCAGAGTCATCGCTCATATTCAGACGTCGATGCCCTCATCATCCGATAACCTGCCACCTGAAGTTCGGCTGACGAGTCAAACCCTGCTCTCCGGTCTCCCTTCTTCCAACCATTTCCTCCTCCTTCCTGCAACGATCAAAGGCTACAAGCCGTATCTGGATGCGGAGTCACTGTCACCAGAAAAACAAGCTCGATTTTCGAATAGCTTGGCAGACTGGTTCGGAGGTGCCCTGCAGAGCACGCGCACCGCTATGTGCTCCTGGTTCGCTACTTTGACCACCGTTCGCGAGCTCTGGGAGACAAGAACATGGTGCAGGAAGTTGATTCGAGCATCCTCAGGTCTCCATGCCGAGGAGAAGACTGTGGTAAATGGCGCAATAGACGCGATCTGTCGGGCAAGAGCGGTAGAAATATGGAAATCGGTACTAACGTCGACCGACGCGGCCTTCCATGAACACCTTGACTCCGGACTCGCTGAGCTGGGGAAACCTAGTGGTGGTGACGTTCTTGGTGAGCGGTCGTACATTCTCCCAGGCGATCCAATCTAATGAGGATTTTGTACTAGATGCACAACCAGTGCGATATCTGCTACAAGCCCCACCCATCTCGTTGTCTTCTTCTCATAGCGGGAAGAGCGCTTCCGCGTCGTTCCGACAGTACAGCAATAGCCTGGAACAGCAGATCTCAGGCCGAACACCTCTCCTGCAAGACGTGCTAGATACGATTGAGACCCGTATACAAGCTCTACAACACGACCTAGATACCATGCGTGGACGTGACGAAGATACCCAGTGCGTTTGGTATCCCATGGCTTACTTTGTGCTACTCACTTATGTGCTTCACAAGGCTGCTAGCTGCACAGCTGGTGGAGCATTATCGTAAGGATGCGGACTCAATGTGTAACTCTTTATGCGATACTTTACAAGCTGCGTTTGACCGTCTCCGGGAAACACGAGGCAAGCACTTCTCCTACTCCTTATGATGAAAATTGCTAACTAGCCTTGCAGCTTCCACATTAAGACCGATGGTATTTTTGGCCCGGCTGGGAGACGAGCTATCGTCCTCCGTCGGCCCATTGACTCGCGTCGGATGCAGCGCGTCAGCTACTGACAGTACGTTACTTTAATCTACCTCGCACATCCCTTCATGCTACCTGATCCTTACTTGATAGATTTCCGTGAACGTCTTCGGAAATTACACGAGGATATCATGCAGCAATGGCAAACCTACGTCGTTGACAAGACACTAGATGATTATCAGTCTCATCATCTCAGTTCTAAAGTCGATAGCCAGGTTGCAGATGGTGAGTTCGATTTATTCTGACTATGCAATGCTGCTCATAACTCGTAAAGCATCTGGATACGATTCTCTGAGGCCATCGGCTGCCGCTGTGAACAGTGTACTAGATCTGGCAACATCTCTGCAGCAGTTTGGTGGCCTCCTTGACCCTATGTATTCGAACACACGAGCGCAGCAGCTTCTCGAGGCCTTCTCTGCGAAGTTTGCGGAGCGATTCCAGGAGTGCTTAGAGGGCTCAGAAACGGCCAACGTGGACATGACCAAAGACCTGGTGCTTCTATATATCCTCGTCACTGCA